CGGTGTTCTTTTTCTCGGCTGAAATAATTATTAACTAACAATCTACTACAAGGGATTGTCGGAGGGAATCGCAGGATAGGCTTTCCTTGGTTTCGCTTCGAAACTGTCGCTGTCCGATCACGAAGCGATTAGTCGAATCCAAACAGGGGGTGGTCTGTTTGCAGATTCGAAGTCGTTTTCGAGCGTGGGCCCATGACCTTCCTACTTTTACACGCTTTTCCCTATACTCCATCTTACCGACTACAGCCCTGATTTCGCTCGTTTTCGAGCTGTCGCATCCGACAGCTATCGGAAGGATATCGTATAGTGGGAATACTCCTTTAATCGTGCGAGCACGCATGAAAATTAAAATGCTTCCAACTTTTTTCTACGTTCTCTACGCTTACAAAAGTTTCACTATCTTTTATATAATTATCCACGCGTATGCCAAAAATAACAATTTTTTCAAAGCTTCGTCGATTATATACGTCACTACCTTCACTTATCAATCTCATAATGTAAATTTAAAATACATATCTTACCTGATTCTAGTAATTCCACACTCATTTCGCGTTCACTTATCGTAAGAATGGAAAAAGTGCTTCCGATAGTAAAGTAATAGCCTGTTACAACAACAAAGGAACAACAAAGAACAAAGCGGAACACGAACACACTAACAAATCGTAACAATAAAAGAGTAACAAACTATAACGAGAAACTAATAAAAAACTGTAACAATAAACAAGTAACAAAGTATAACGAGAAAATAATACAAATTTGAAATCGCAAACGGAATTCTCCAAACTTTCAATGAGTGTAATGGCTTCGCTTGCTTTTCGCTTTGTGCTTGACTTGGCGTCGCGGTTTCACATCATGGCGCCAAGGAAGCTTTCACCCGCCATCGAGCTTGAAGGTCAAGTGGGAAGTTGGTAGGCGCATCAGGCGCATGTCCATGGGTAACATAAGCGGGGACAAAATAGAGTAGTGGGGGTCAGCACGCGAAGAGGATAAGCGAGAAAAATCACTCAGGTTTCGGGTATCTTCGCGAAGATACCCGAAACCGGTTGCTTGGCATAGACATAGACCCGACATTATCACTTGCAAGTTTTGAACCCCTCTAAAAGGTTTAAATTTCATCGAAGGGGAAACTTTATAGGATCATTCTTGTGTAAAATTTCGCGCTCTACAACTTTTAGTTGAAACTTTTTTCGATATCTAGAGCCGTTTTCGACTTATAAGCAACAGAGGTGGTTTTCTACAGGACCCCCTGGGACGAAAACTTTTTGACTGTACAAATTTGTTTCTGAGGGTCAGACAAAGCATATATCCAAATTTCATCGCCTCGGCTAAAAGTATCGATTTAAGACCTGTTTTTCTTGGACTAATTGTAAGAGGAGCCCATTACAATTCTAGTGAAGTCAGGTGTAGAGATATGAAAATTATGAAAAAACAACGTTCTCACAAAACTGATTGTTTCATATGTATCCACTGTTTTCTGCTGCTTTGAAAGTATTGAACAAGTTACAGGCGTTGATTGTATAACTTTTGCATATTCTTACTTGAGTTTTCACGACAGGTGATCTCTCAAACCAGAAGTATTTCCTTTTGTCATCTTTATGAGCTGATTGAGATTGACCTTATGAGAAGCCGATTCGGTGTTGCGATCCTGAGAAATGAAGCAAGAGCCGGTTTTGAATCTTGACGCACGTTTCTTAGAGATTTCTTACAAAGGGAGTTCGTGCCCTTAGTCGTTACACATTACGAGGCATAAATTTGAGAATTCCCGACGAATTCACAGCTGAGAATACCGACGATCGAGACTACTAGTGTGAGAGTTCCGAAACGGCCAGATATTATTGATCTCGAACCGTTGTCAAACTGGTGAGATTTAAGATTTATTTCACCGTGCGCGAGCACACGTCCCTCAAGATATTATTAATCTTGAGGAGTTTGAGAATTGAAACCTTTTAAAGAGTGTACCGATTTTGAGAGAGCATTGTTGAAATCACAAAGAGAATCCGAGACGCGTTTTCACGTTATGGCGTCCTAATGAACTGTGTCGACCGTTGGCCGTGAATCATGGCCTTGCCTTCTTCCTGCGCAGAATTTGTTGTGTTCAATGTGCACGTACGCGGACCATGGTGATTAGACGATCGATTGGGCATCGATCGCATGATCCTGAGATTCGCATGCGAGAGCGCCTTTATTCTAACCTGATTCTCAAACATGAACTTTGATGGAATTTTTTCTTTTTCACATAATGAGCATATTCCATGCTTGATCGATCTCTACATTTCGAAAATAATTTTTATATCCAGATTTTATTGCACTTTGAGAAGGTGATTCCTTACTCCCAGAATCCTCATTGTTTTCTTGATTCATATTTGAAAAACTCATTTTCAACGTAATTTTTAGAGACATGCGTATTGAACGATACTTATGAACTGTGATGCTTTTGTTTTACGGTTACAATATTTGAACTAATGTACGATTCTTCCGCGTATGTTTTTTTAACTGTAGTACTCAACTACAGATCATCAACTTCGTTCCGTTTTGAAAACAGTTTGTCGTACGCGGGGTGATTAGTAGAATACTATTTGCTCTTTAATATGCGATGATTATAATATCATATAGCTTGTTAGGGGATAGATGGCCCCTAACGGGTCCGGAATCGAGGTACGAAACGCGAAATAAACCGGACACTGGATTTCACTTTTAATTTCGTTTATTGAATACCAAGTGCAGTTAGGACGTCGGACTTCGGGGCCTGGTATCCGGAACAGCCGGTGAATGGTCCGTCCCAGTCGTCGTCGGTTAAGTCGGCGCCGTCAGTGCTCGTCCTCGTCGAGGCGCTATTCAACGTCTTCGACGTTCGGTATTTCTGAAATGTTGCAAATACGAATTAAATAAAATTTGCGTCGCACTTCAAGCTCGTGCGGAAAGAGTCGCCGCTTCTGGGCAGAACTCTACTATGCAGCGGCTTCTCCAGCAAGTCCCTTGCCGTGAAACGGAGCAGAATCACGCTCAACGTTCGTCTCTCCACACCGCGTAACTGGTGGAAGCTCGTAGCAACGAACTTCGAGACCTGACCTTATAGGGCGCGATCTAACTTACCGCACCAGGACGGCCTCGAGGATGACGAACTGCAGCAGTGCGTTTAACACAACGTGCTGCCCAAGCCGTCAGCCATTTCTAATTCAGGCTTAGAGGTGGCCTAAGACGGTGGATTCAGTCTTCAATCGACCTATGAACCCGAGTTGGACGCAACTCCGAAATGCCCAGTTACTGGTGCAAATCGTGGCTCTTATTCGCTTCACCGCGAACTTCTGCGTGGCCGCTATTTCCGTTGATCGAGGTTCCTCCTAGCTGGGAACTTGTACGTCTTGCCGAACCTGCTATTCACTACGTCTTATTTCGAGTCGAACTACTTTTCCGCGATGTTCACACCGTGATAATCCGTCGTTGACTCAGGCGGAATCGGCGCTCTAACGCGCGGACACCGACCTCGGCGCGTGGCGTAGAAGAGTCGCGCCGATCCGCTCTCTCACTCGCGCTTATTCCTTTTCCCACTCTGCATATCCAAAATTTGAATTCTCCGATCCGTTGCCGGTCGGGCGTTGACTTCGATCGCGTATAGACAACGATCCTCCGTGCCGTTTTTTGCCGCGCAATCCGGCGCGTGTCGCGATAAACATTCTCGCTCCGGAGGTCGTATCAAATGCCGATGTTGTCTATGTTATTTTCCTCGCGGTTAGCTCGACTTGTACCTTCGGAGAAAAAACCTCAATCCGAAGGCCGTGCAAATAACCGAACCGCGAATCGAATTTATTAAATTAATTTCCGATTTTTAAACATAGCTCCTTTTCTCTCTCTTTTTCTCGCGTAAAATTAAATCTGATTGGTCGATCTCAGATGTAGTGCGAAAAATTGAATCTAAAAATTTCAATTTTAGTCTTTTTCCTTTTTCAGCTGTACATTTTTCAGGAAAATAATTCGATATGTTGGATGTTAAAATGTATATTATTTTCACAAGGAATAAATTAAAATTGATTCATGCGTATGTAAAAGTTCAGCAGAATTCAATACAAAGTGAGGGTAGGTTGAATTATTTTCATTGGCATCAACTGTTCCAGATGCTTTTGTAAGGCACGAGTCGGAGACGGCAGACTTCGACAGGTGGGCGCAGGGATCTCGTAATTTTTCGGTCGGCCGGAAAGTGGGGACGACGCGACCATGGTGGGGACCAATAGTTGGTGGGGGTATGCAGTGATTTTCACGGTAGCGCTGCGGAGAGCTTCGCGAACGCGCATGAGCACGCATGAGGGGAATAGTAGTGGGGATCGAAATACGGGCGAAAAACAGGGGAAGCGAGCCTCGAGGGAAAAAATATCTCCACGCTGCCCTAGAGTGGCCACCTTTCCCAGGTGACGCGCTCAGCGGCAACGTCGCCCGAGCCTAGGAACACGATTAGTCCCTATCTCCACGAAGGGCCCCTCGCTTTTAACGGTCGTATTCGACTGAGGAGAGGTAACAACGGAACCAGAGCGACCGTTCCTTGCGCGGTCGCCCCGTGTCCGCCAGCCAACCCAGCGACCTATCACTGGGGTCGAGCGCCCACCCAGGGATCTCGTAATTTTTCGTGCACGGCTCGCTTCCCCTCTTTTTCGCCCGTATTTCAATCCCCACTACTATTCCCCTCATGCGTGCTCATGCGCGTTCGCGAAGCTCTCCGCAGCGCTACCGTGAAAATCACTGCATACCCCCACCAACTATTGGTCCCCACCATGGTCGCGTCGTCCCCACTTTCCGGCCGACCGAAAAATTACGAGATCCCTGCGCCCACCTGTCGAAGTCTGCCGTCTCCGACTCGTGCCTTACAAAAGCATCTGGAACAGTTGATGCCAATGAAAATAATTCAACCTACCCTCACTTTGTATTGAATTCTGCTGAACTTTTA